TCTTGGCTCACTGCAACCTCTGCCTCCCAGGTTCAAGTGATTCTCCTACCACAGCCTCCCGATAGCTGGGATGACAGGTGCCCACCACCACACCCAACTAATTTTTGTATTTTTAGTAAAGACGATGTTTCACCATATTGGCCAGGCTGGTGTCAAACTCCTGACCTCAGGTGATTTGCCTGCCTTGACCTCCCAAAGTGCTGGCATTACAGGCATAAGCCACCATGCCTGGTGTCTTTATTTATGAAAAATTTTACTGGCTTTCCATTTATGGTAGTGATATTTTTTTTTCTTTCCTTATTAAAATAGACTTTATTTTTTAGAGAAGTTTTAGGTTCACAGTAAAACTAAACAGAAAGCTTAGAGTTCTCATATAGTCCCTGCTCCCTCCGCCCTTCAGTGTTCTCCACTGTCAATGTCCTATGCCAGTGGTACATTTGTTACAATTGATGAACCTTCACTGATACATTGTTACCATCCAAAGCCATAGTTTTCTTTAGGGTTTACTTTTGGTTGCACATTGTAGTGGTTTAGACAAATGTACAATGTCATGTATCCACCATCATAGTGTCACGCAGAATAGTTTCACTGTGCCCAAAATCTTCTGTGCTCCAACTATTCATCCCTCCCTCCAGCCAAACCCCAGGAAACCGCTGATCATTTTACTGTCTTCATGGTTTTGCTTTTTCCAGAATGTCATATAGTTGGAATCATACAGTATGTACCCTTTTTCAGGTTGTCGTCTTTCACTTAATAAAATGCAGTTAAGTTTCTTCTATGTCTTTTTGTGGTTTGATAGCTTATTTCTTTTTAGTGCTGAATAATATTCCATTGGCTGGATTTACCACAGTATATTTATCCATTCACCTCCTGAAGGACACCTTGGTTGCTCCCAAGTTTGGGCAATAATTAATAAAGCTGCTATGAACATCTGTGTGTGGGTCTTTGTATGGACATAAATTTTCAACTAATTTGGGTAAATACCAAGGAGCATGAATATTGGATCATATGGTATGAGTACATTTCATTTTGTAAGAAACTGCCAAACTGTCTCCCACAATGACTATACCATTTTGTTTTTCCACCAGCAGTGAATAAGAGTTCCCATTGCTCCGCATCCTCACCAGTGTTTAGGATTTTAATCCTTTGAATAGGCATGTAGTAGTATCTCATTAGTATTTTCATTTGCAATCTCCTAATGACATGTGATGTTGAGCATCATTTCATATGTTTATTTGCCATCTTCTTTGGTTGAGGTTATCTGCTTAATTCTTTTGCCTTTTTGTTTTTTGTTTGTTTGTTTGTTTTTGAGATAGAATTTTGCTCTTTTTGCCCAGGCTGGTGTGCAATGGTGCAAGCTTGGCTCACTGCAACCTCCCCCTCCTGGGTTCAAGCGATTATCCTGCCTCAGCCTCCGGAGTAGCTGGGATTACAGGCATACGCCACCATGCCTGGCTATTTTTTTTTTTTTTTAAGATGGGGTTTCGCCATGATGGCCAGGCTGGTCTTGAACTCCTGACCTCAGGTGATCCACCCACCTCAGCCTCCCAAAATGCTAGGATTCCCAAAATGCTAGGCATGAGCCACCGTACCCGGCTATTTTTTTTGTATTTTTAGTTGAGATGGGGTTTCACCATGTTGGTCAGGCTGGTCTCAAACTCCTGAACTCAGGTGATCCACCTTCCTTGGCCTCCCAAAGTGCTGGGATTATAGATGTGAGCCATAGTACCTGGCCTCTTTTGCCTATTTTTAAATGAGGTCTTTTGTCTTCCTGTTATTGAGTTCTAAAAGTTCTTTATATATTTTGGACAGCAGTTTTTTATCAGGTGTGTCTTTTGCAAATAATTTTTCCCAGTCCGTGGGTTTGTCTTCCGATTCTCTTGAGTGATGTGGCATTTTAAAAAATAAAATTATTTTAAGTTTAAAAAGCAAGTCCATTTGGCCAGGCACGGTGGCTCACACCTGTAATACCATCAGCTTTGGGAGGCTGCGGAGGGTGGATCACGAAGTCAGGATATGGAGACCATCCTGGCCAACATGGTGAAACCCTGTCTCTACTAAAAATACAAAAGTTAGCTGGGCGGTGGCGCGTACCTGTAGTCTAAGCTACTCGGGAGGCTGAGGCAGGAGAATTGCTTGAATCCGGAAGGCAGAGGTTGCAGTGAGCCAAGATTGGGACATTGCACTCCAGCCTGGTGACAGAGCGAGACTCCGTCTCAAAAATTAATAAATAAAAAATAAAAAATTAAAAAAGCAATTCCATTTAAAGAGAAACATCCGGGAAATAATAACCAAGGTGGTAGGAATATGGTGAAAAAAATGAAAGAGTCCCAAAGGGACTCAGGGTTGGCAATACTAATGACACATAGAGCCTGGTTCCCTGGCAATTATTATGGCTATTACTAGTATTTTAATAATATTAGCAGTTACTGTTGATATTTTGCTATTGTAATTAATAACGTAGTGGCTATTACTGTTATTATTGCTGTACCAATACACCATTGTTATTCTATCATGATGCAGTATATTTCCTGGATGACCTCTGTATCGCCCTGTCTTCTAATGGGGAACTCTGCAAAGTTGTTGAGGTTATTATGGCCATTATCTTGGGATTTCACCACTACAAAGAGCTGCCCAAAGTTTGGACGGTACGAATCAGGGTGTTACCAGTTCGGTGACAGGTAGGAGGTGGGTCCGAGGAAGGATCGGGTCTGGGAGCTTCCGCTTCCAACTCAAGGCAGGCTGTACAGGATCTGTCCCCGTTGGCGTCCTGGTACCCAGCCTGAGCGCGGCCATGGGCCCGCGTGGCGTGGAGCAGATCCTGTCCCCGTGGCTCGCCCTGGCCGCGGTGGCCGCGGAGGCCTGGGAGCTGGGTCCGCCGGGCTTGCTCCAGCCCTGGCAGGGCTGCGCCGCGCTGGGCCGCTGCTGCTCCGGCCGTGACCCGTTGTGTGTCGCCCGCCTGCCCCCGCGCTGCTTCTGCGACCAAGAGGGCGGCGCGGCGCGGGACTGCTGCCCAGACTGCCCGCGTCTGCCCAGGTGCGCCTGGGAAAGGGCAAGGCACTAGAGGAGCGCTCCGAGCAGAGGGGAGCTGGGGAAGGGGATGCGCGGAGGAAGGGAGCCCAGCACCTAGGGGGGCTCTGGGCTTGGAGGCGGCACACGAGCATGGGCGGGACGCTTGGGGACTGGAAGGGTGCGCCGCGGGGCAGACCGAACGTGCAGGGGGTCGCGCGGGCAAGAAGGGACTCAGACGCTCAGGACCCAAAGGGGAAGCACAGGCTGTGGCGTTGCGAGAGGAGGAAGACGCGCAGGGTATGAACCTGGGCACGCTCATCTCGGGGGACCTGAAGGAGAGGGACTCGTGGAGAGTTGAGGGGTGTTTTGGAGGCGAAACGCAAGGACCGCGCACAGGACTTGAAGGACTACAGGAAGGTGGGGGACTCGGCCCAGGTATGGGACGCAGCGGGTGGAAGGGAGATGGGCGCAAGAGGCGCAGGCAGGAAGGAGAGCACCTGGCGCTAGGGAGGAAGGGACGCACGCGGTGAGGGGTGGGGGGTCGTGAAGCTTGGAGGGCTTCGAGGGGAGGGAGGCTCTTGGGTTGAGGTCGGGTGCCAGATTTCGCAAATCAAAATACAGCATACCCAGTTAAACTCGAATTTCAGATAAGAAAAATGTGTCCTAAATATTGCATGGGATATACTTACCCTAAAAAATTATTGGTTGTTTTTCTGAAATTGAAATCTAACTAGGAATCCTGTATTTTATCTGAGAGCCCTAGCTGGGGGATGGGCGTGGGGCCACAGAACTGCGAGGGAGGAGGCGGTCGTAGGCTTCTTTCAGGCGGAGGGGTCACAAGGTGAATAGAGAAGGTGACGAGAAACCGAGGAAAGGGCTGACACTTGGAGTGCAGGGGTGGAAGGATGCTCAAAGCGGAGGCGGAACGGGCTGAGTGATTCCAAAACTAGGGTGCCCAAGCTGGTTAGAACTCCGACAGGCTGGGCCAGAGGCCGAGGTGCCTGATAGATACGCAGGGTGAAGTCCCTTTGTGGTCCGCGTGCTGGTGGTGGCCACCAAAGGAGTTCAAGCACTCCTCTCGAGTGGTAACCAAGGCGCTCTGAAATTAGGAGCTATTTTAGTTGAGTCATTAGTGGAAAGGACGCTGCCTCACCCCCACCCCCTTCTTCTAGAGCTGGAGTCTTGCTCTGTCACCCAGGCTGGAGTGCAGTGGTGCGATCATCACTCGCTGCAGCCTCGGAGTCCTGGACTCCAGCGATCCTTCTGTCTCAGCATTCCAAGTAGCTGGATGACAGGCACCCACCACCATGCCTGGCTCTCTCTCCTTTTTAAATCCCAGAAGTAAAGTTTTCATACCCACTGGAGACAAAAAACTCTAAATTCTGTCACCCTGTAAAGTGGATATGACCCAACTTTCTAATGTCAGGGAGGAAAGTGCTTGGGCTCCTCTACCCTGTGATCTCACTAGCGCTTCCTTCAGGAATTCATGTTTAAAGCTTAAAAAAAAAAATTCATAATGGGTGAGGCACAGTGGCTCATGCTTGTAATCCCAACACTTGGAGAGGCTGCGGGAGGATCATTTGAGGCCAGTAGTTCACGACCAGCCTGGGCAACACTGGGAGACCCAGTCTCTAAAAAATAAAATAAAATAAAAATTAGCCTCAAGTGGTGGCGCCTGCCTGTAGCCCCAGCTACTCAGGAGGCTGAGCTGGGAGAATCTCTTGAGCCCAGGAGGTTGAGGCTGCAGTGAGCTATGACTGCAACACTGCACTCCAGCCTGGGTGACAGAGTGAGGCCATGTCTCAAAAATAAGTAAATATACCTTGAGCTTTGGTTCAAACCTGAAAATAAAATAAATAAAAATGTAAGAGACCTAACATCTATTAATCAACTACCCCTCTGTGCCCAGGAACTGGGCTGGATGTCTGCTTGAAACTAAATACATTCTCCTAGCCCTCTGGGGTTCAGGTATGTAATAATGTCCGTGTTTAGCAGCCAAGAAAAGCAAGGCTCAGAGAGGGGAGGGCTTTGGCCAGTCAAGGATTCCTAGCTGGTGGAAGAGCTGGGTCTGATTCTGAGTCTTCCAGCTCCTTGCTGCCAAGAGTCACCAATGTTGGAAAATCAGGCAGCAGTGAGATGTAATTTTGGATGTGGTGTCTTCTCAAGCCATAGGCAAGTAAGAACTCCTTCCAGATTAAATTTAAGGAAGGACTGCCTGGGAGTGCTTTTGTATGGGTTGGCTTTCCACATTCAGAGCCCATGCAGCTGCAGGTCTGTGCAGATTGGAACTGAAGTCCTGGGTTAGCACCACCCACAGGGGCTCCCCTGCCACAGCGCAGGAGTGGGGGCCCCAGGACTGGGGGTCCAGGCAAAGGCATCAGTGATACTTTCCCACAGTCTGACCGACGCCTACAGAATCACACAATGTCATCCTCTCCCAAGAGATTTCCTTTCTATATGGAGCTAGGGCTGGAGGATCCAGGAACCTTAAAGCTTTGCTTTCACCTTTGTTTTGCTATTTTGGGATCCGCCCCCTTATCTGGGGGAGGGACTTGTGAACAGGCAGAGAAAAGTTCACTTTCCATCTCCCAGGGGAGCAGGCAGGAGGGGATGTGGGGACCAGTTAGGAGGCAAAAGATGGAGAGAACTATTTGCTTTATCCATGAGCTGTTTTTAGGAGATACGGTCGACTGCCTTCAGTGATTGAGTGTAGTAGAGGGCAATGTTGAAGATGACTTAAAATACAAGCAAACAAAATCCCCAAACAACAAACCTAACATTTACTAAATACCAAGTGTCAGGACGGCACTATTTTAAGTGCTTTCAGTAAATTGTCTCATTTAAGCCTCATAATAACTCTATGAAACAGTGTTATCATGTCCATTTTACAGATGAGGAACTAGGGCCCAGGGAGGTTAAGTGACCTGTTCTGGGTTGCACAGCTAGTAAACAGCAGATCTGGGATTTTTTGAACTCCAGCAGTCTGACTCCAGACATCAATATTGTGTGGCAGCTCACAGATGAAAGAGACTCAGAATGTTAGGAGAGGGAAGGTTGACTTTACAGGTGAAAGGGGACATCTTGACATCTTCCTCCTTTAGTTAAATTAAAACTCTTTCTTTCTTTCATTCATTCTTTCTCTCTCTCTCTCTTTCCTTCCTTCCTTCCTTCTTTCCTTCTTCCTTTCTTTCTTTCTTTTTCTTTCTTTCATTCTTTCTCTCTCTCTTTCCTGCCTTCCTTCCTTCCTTCTTTCCTCCTTCCTTCCTTCCTTCCTTCCTCCTTCCTTCCTTCCTTCCCTTCCTTCCTTCCTTCTTTCTCTCTTTCCTTCTTTCTTTCTTTCTTTCTTTCTTTCTTTTCTTTCTTTTCTTTCTTTTCTTTCTTTCCTTTCTTTCAAGACAGGGTTTCACTGTGTCACCCAGGCTGGAGTGCAGTGGTGCGATTATGGCTTACTGCAACCTCTGCCTCCCAGGCTCAAGTGATTCTCCTATCTCAGCCTCCTGAGTAGCTGGGCCTGCACGTGTGGGCCACCATGCCCAGCTTTTTTTTTTTTTTTTTTGCTATTTTTTTTGTAGAGATGGAGTTTTACCATCTTTCCCAGGCTGGTCTCGAACTCCGGGGCTCAAGCTATCCTCCAGCCTCAGCCTCCCAAAACTGGTGTCAGTCACCATGCCCAACCTCAGTTAAAATTGGTGGCCACCTACTGTGCTCAGCTCAGCTAGAAGCACTGGGGCTGGAAGCAAGGCTGGAGGAGCTCTGGTACCCCTCCAGCTTACTGTCTATTTTTGGGAGACAAGGTAGTTGTGAAAGGAATAAATAATTTCAGTCTGAGCAAGGTGAAGCTTGGAAATGATTGATGAGGATGGGGTGGAGGTGGGGAGAGAGTGGGGCTGGAGTGATTAGTAGGGCCTTGAAGGATAGACACCACTACATTTTCCAAGTTATTTACAGAATGTTTCCATGTATTTTATATGTCTTAAATCTCATCTCAACCCTGTATGGGTTGATGTCCCCACTTAACATGTTTCCTGTAGAGTTAGTACTCTTAGGGTTGTGACACAATTTAACTTAAACTGACAAAGACATTTATGGCTTACGTAACTGAAAGACAACCCAGGGATGCTGGAGCTTCAGGCATGACTGGATTCAGGGGCACCAAGGATGTCATCAGGACTCTCTTTCCATTCTTTGGCTTTTCTTGTGTTAACTTCATTCACAGGCATGCTGTCACCAAGTGGTAGCAAAGATATTGTTCAAAGATATTAGCTCTAAACTGCCATCCCTAGTGGATTAAGAGAGCATCTTTCCCCAGTTCCAGCCAAAATCCCAGGGCTGGTTCTCATGGGCCCAGTTTGGATTAAATGCTCATTGCTGACCCAATCAATCACTGAGCCTAGGGAGAAGGAATATATTAACTGGCCATGTCGGGGTCACATGCCTCATACTAGGAATGAGAGGGTGAGATCAGCCCCGTCCAAACCATGTGGATTGAGAGCGGGGAGGGTTTGGGTCCTCAAAAGGAAACTGAGGTGGTGTTACCAGAAGCTGGGGAAAGGAGGCTGGGAGGGTATTACTGAGCTGTGGGAGACCTCGTGCTTTGGGAAACTTTGGGTAAAGTATGCTGAGACAGTAAATAGGAGGAGGGCGCAGTAAATAACTGTGGACGAGTGGCAGGAAAATCTAGATTTTGAGGCGCTGAGCTTGGGAGAGTCTCCATCTATAATCCACTATCAAAAAAGGCCTTTTGCGAATCCCCCCAATAATTAATGGGAACCACTGAGGGATTTCAGGGGACAGGCCAGAAATGTATTCTAGAAAATCCTTTTGGTAGACAATGAGGAGGGCAGTTGTAAGGGGGCTGGGCAGGGAGGTTCGGAGGAGAAAGTGGGGTTTGAATAATGCAGAAAGACATTCCTTGCCTGGGCACGGTGGCTCACGCCTGTGATCTCAGCACTCTGGGAGGCCGAGGTGGGCAGATCACAAGGTCAGGAGTTTGAGACCAGCCTGGTCAAACATAGTGAAACCCGTCTCTACTAAAAATACGAAAATTAGCCGGGTGTGGTGGCACGTGCCTGTAGTCCCAGCTACTCAGGAGGCTGAGGTAGAATTGCTTGAACCTGGGAAGTAGAAGTTGCAGTGAGCCGAGACTGCACCATTGCACTCCAGCCTGGGCAACAAGTGAGACTCCATTTCAAAAAAAAAAAAAAAAAGAAAACAAAAGATGTTCCTTGATGGGCCTGGCCTGTCAGGGTGGGGTGCAGCGATTCTAAGGGGTCTGAGGGAAATGTGGTTGGACCTCGGCAGGCTCAGCTGGCACGAGGTTATCTGGGTATTGAGGACTCAGTGAGCAGCCTTTAATACCCCCTCCCCCTTTCAGTAGGGCAGGGAAACTAGAATTTCTCCGTTAGGAAAAGGGGGCCGGGCTTTGCTTTGGGAAA